AGAACTACAGCCGGAACTACGGTCGGAAATACAGTCGGAACTACGGTCGGAACTACGGTCGGAACTACGGTCGGAACTACGGTCGGAAATACAGTCGGAACTACGGTCGGAACTACGGTCGGAACTACGGTCGGAAATACAGTCGGAAATACAGTCGGAAATACAGTCGGAACTACGGTCGGAAATACAGTCGGAAATACAGTCGGAACTACAGTCGGAACTACAGCCGGAACTACGGTCGGAAATACGGTCGGAACTGCAGTCAGAACTGCAGTCAGAACTACGGTCAGAAATACAGTCAGAACTACAGTCAGAATACGGTCGGAACTACGGTCGGAACTACGGTCGGAACTACAGCCGGAACTACGGTCGGAAATACGGTCGGAACTACGGTCGGAAATACGGTCAGAACTACAGTCAGAAATACAGTCGGAACTACAGTCGGAACTACAGTCGGAACTACAGTCGGAACTAAGGTCGGAACTACGGTCGGAACTACGGTCAGAAATGTAAATTAGCATTATATTTAATTGTTCATTTGGCAACTAGTCTTTTTTCTATGTTACAGGGATAATGTTAATAACTCTGCTATTTTTATTTTTAAATTAAGATATTCAATCCTGAAAAAACTGAAACGTTGACGTTAATTAAATGTATTATGTCCACAGCAACTTAATATTATCGCTTTAAGCTAACCTAATACAGTATCTGTTGACTTCATATGTTTAATTAAAGGTCTGCTATTATGCAAAATCCTCTTCTTCATGTCTCTTCTACATCAACATGTGTCCCCTCTTCTTCATGTCTCTTCTACATCAACATGTGTCCCCTCTTCTTCATGTCTCTTCTACATCAACATGTGTCCCCTCTTCTTCATGTCTCTTCTACATCAACATGTGTCCCCTCTTCTTCATGTCTCTTCTACATCAACATGTGTCCCCTCTTCTTCATGTCTCTTCTACATCAACATGTGTCCCCTCTTCTTCATGTCTCTTCTACATCAACATGTGTCCCCTCTTCTCCATGTCTCTTCTACATCAACATGTGTCCCCTCTTCTTCATGTCTCTTCTACATCAACATGTGTCCCCTCTTCTTCATGTCTCTTCTACATCAACATGTGTCCCCTCTTCTAAAGAGACTCTGAAAGTTTCAGGAACAAAGATTCTCACTCTTTTTGTCCTGATCTATTTCTATAAAAACCTGTCTGAAAATGGGTTTTGGGTTGTGTAACCATTAGCCAATCAGCAACCAAGGTAACACAAACTTATCACCTGTTCTATATATATCTGAGACCTGTCATATATTGATGATAAAGAGTATAATTGGGGACCTTTAAAGTCAACGTTTCTGTTTTTCAATGTTTTTGTGAATAATCTCGATAAACAGCAGTATTTATATATTTATAACTCGCCCCATTCGGCTGCTTCAAATCTCATAATTCAAGAGTTCCAATGGTTCAAAGGTCACATCATAGCTGCCCCCAAACGTGTGCATCATAAAAACAGGACGTCTACAAAATACATTCAAAGATTTAAAAAAAAAGGACACTTGTATAGAAAGAGTATAAAAATGAGAACGGAAAATATTTATAAACTCAGATTCCACAAAACGTCCCTCTGGTTCAGTCTGTCTTCTCTCAGTATTTCCTCCTCCTCTTCCTCATCTTCCTCCTCTTCCTCTTCTTCCTCTTCAGTCGAAGAAGAATAATCCTCTCAGGGGAAGTCCGAAAGTCCGTTTGTTTGGATAAAGCCAGGTTCAAATGTCTTGTTTCATGTTGTTGAGATATAATCAGAACATAATCTCAACTGCACAACAAAAATCTATTTTCTTTTGAAATCATTCTGTAAAAATGTCTTTTGAGGTCAGAGGACAGAAAAACTCATTTTGAGAATTTTTGGGGTAAAGTCGAAATAACTGGAAGAAACTTGTATAGAAAATTAAGTATTTCAAGAAAGGGAGTCAATAAAAAAATTCCAGTACATTTTTCAATGTATTCTCCTCTTCCTCTTCTTCCTCTTCACCTTCCTCTTCCTCTTTAGTCGAGGAACCGTTGGCAGGCTTTCTTCCAGCGACAGGCCGTGCACCACTGGTCTCTGTGTTCGATGCCGTAAACTTTACGACATTTCTTCGCCTCGCCACGAATCCTCCTGACCGAGAAACACAGAAATATATACACCTGAACATCAGCAGGAGAGGACTCTTTAAAGTAGAGACACTACATACTGATATACACCTGAACATCAGCAGGAGAGGACTCTTTAAAGTAGAGACACTACATACTGATATACACCTGAACATCAGCAGGAGAGGACTCTTTAAAGTAGAGACACTACATACTGATATACACCTGAACATCAGCAGGAGAGGACTCTTTAAAGTAGAGACACTACATACTGATATACACCTGAACATCAGCAGGAGAGGACTCTTTAAAGTAGAGACACTACATACTGATATACACCTGAACATCAGCAGGAGAGGACTCTTTAAAGTAGAGACACTACATACTGATATACACCTGAACATCAGCAGGAGAGGACTCTTTAAAGTAGAGACACTACATACTGATATACACCTGAACATCAGCAGGAGAGGACTCTTTAAAGTAGAGACACTGACCTGCAGGGGCCGCTCTGCAGCCATTGTTCTCCAACACTCACCGAACGCACCCGAGACGCCAAACCCTGAAGAAGAAAAATGTCATAATTAAACATTTTGAGAAAATGTCCATTATTTACCAACTTGTGTGTTTGCCTCTTATTCAAAAATATGTTATACTATTTGTTTTATGTTTGTCTTTCATCATATCAGCCCCTCTCACTCCTCTCTGTTCATGTCCTTTGTTTCTCCTCTGGTGTAAAAACATCCTGCAGTGTCCTCTCTCAGCCTGCAGGGGGCGGCACTAAATTATGGGAAATGTGACCACAAGAGGGGATTTTCCTGACACACACACACACACACACACACACACACAGCCCCTCTCCTGTGTAAAACCAGTTTTAACAGGCTTCACTGCGCTGCTGCAAGAAGTAAACAACAGGCTGCTATGTGTGTGTGTGTGTGTGTGTGTGTGTGTGTGTGTGTGCGTGCGTGCGTGCGTGCGTGCGTGTGTCTTAGATCTAACTTTATGCTCACAGGGGAATTCCGAAACCGATGGCTGTTAGTTTGGATGAAGCCAGGTTCAAATTCCTTGTTTCATGTTGTTGAAATATAAGAGTCTAAGGTTTCTACAGAGGGAAATCTCTCTGTATCATATAACAAACATCAGAATATGTTCTCAACTGCACAACAACAATCTATTTTCTTTTAAATTAATTATGGATGAATTTCTGTTGAGAGCCGAGGAGAGAAATCTCATTTTGAGCATTTTGGAGGTAAAGAAATGTGGGTAAAGTCGAATATTTTAGACATGAAAAGTCGTAATAACTGGAAGAAGTTGTAATATTTACACACTAGTTTAAATCTGCAAACGAGGCATTGCATATCTCTACTCTCTGGGATTGTTACTGCGACCTTTCCCATGCATGTTCTCATGTTCTCTTAAAAGTCTCACCTGTTGGAGGCAGCTGGTGGGCGGAGCCACTGATGATGTCACATGACTAACAGCTGGAGCCTAAAAACATGTACAACATATTTAGGTGATTCATAAAAGTGTCCAAATTATGTAAGAAAAATGTAGTGACGTTTATTGAGCTTGAAATATTATCAGGTTAGAAAATATCTTATAAAACATATTTTAATAATTTGTCGTCAATATTAAGTATAAAATAAGTAGACCACATTTAAAGCAGACTGAAAACGATAAATAAAAAAAGAGAGATAATTAATATGGTGTTGGTTGTACAATTACAAACCTGCGATAAGCCCCGCCCCCTACCTGGTAGGAGTGATCTGATTGGACCTATGTAAATATAAATATAGATTTGAACTGTTTAAAGTCTCACCTGTCGGAGGCAGCTGGTGGGCGGAGCCACTGATGACGTCAAATGACTGACAGGTGGAGCCTAAAAACATGTACAACATATTTAGGTGATTCATAAAATCTTTTTATAAAAGTGTTCAAATTATATTTACGTTTAGTTCAGTTTTTTTGAGAGTATTATCAGGAAAATATGTTTATCTTATAAAACATATTTTAATAATTTTTCGTCAATATTAAAGTGGACCTATCATACTATTTTTAGGCAATAGCATAGGTCTCAGATATATACAAATATATAAAAAACATGTCTATGAAGTGTTTTGCTCAAAATAACAAACAGATCACCCATTCTAGCCATGCCTCATATCCCTCTATTTCACTTCCTGTTTCAAAAGTTCTGATTTGGGGTATAAAGCTTTAAAAAAAATGTATAACAAAATAAAAAGGAGGGGTCTGAGCTCATGCGGGACCCGGCAGCTACTGTCTAAAGTAAATACTGCCGTGATGAAACGCCATATCATGGATTATCAAGGATTATATCTGAATCAGTATGGAGCTCAAAGGCTTTCTCTCTTGCTGGTTATACCACAAGGTGAGTTCCTTTTTATTTCCTGCTTCTTCACACACATGCTCTCCAGTACAGGTTAGCTCTGAGTGTTAGCGATGCTAATGTAAACACCGACCATATTACGTCCAAAACAGTCGGGCATTGTTTCTGATAGCAACGTTTCTGATAGGGCCGTGGGTCCACATTTCAGATATTACGTCATATCGGACGCAAATCTGGATCAGCTCCGTTGTTCCCCCTTTTTAGAGATTTGGGTACGGAGGAAAAGAGAGAGGGTTTCTTCATGAAATACAGT